TCCCCTTTGTCTTCTTGCTTAAATGGTTAAGTTAATATTTAAAAATGAAATAGGATTTTAGCACATTTGAAAATAGGAAGAAAATGGTGAAAACCTTAAAATTTTTAATTTTTAAACCTTGTCACTTTAAGGACACAATTATGCAGGGATCCATGGCATGCTTGCAGTTTAAACTGCACACTCCTTAGTGTATCCTTTCCATTGCACACTTATGTTGCTCATGGCACATGCATTTATCATTGTACTTAACTGTGTTTATACCTTAGGCAGACCAGTAAGCTGCACTAAGGTCATTCAACAGCAGCTGTGTTGAATGCAAACATCTTTTTTTGACATTGTGACAGTGATTCCTGTTATACATTTAAAAGGTGCTATAGATGGATAGTGATGATATTTGTGGAATTTGTTTCAGAGGTTCATTTGAAGACTCAACAACAAGATTTTATACGGCTTGTGTAGTCGAGGCCTTTGCTTATCTGCATTCCAAAGGAATAATTTATAGGGACCTTAAGCCAGAGAACCTTATTTTGGACCATCGAGGTTATGCAAAGTTGGTAAGTAAAAAAAGATTTAACGTGAACATTTTTTTTATGGCACTACCCCTTAAAGGGTGTAAGTGACTGGGCATATGACTTTGCACATCACTTACACCCTGGGTAAGGGTGTATGTGATGTGCAAAGAAAAAAGGCCCACAAATAAATACACGTTTCTGCCAAAGCTGCAGGAGAGTTGCACACATTCCTTCACTATTATTCACTTGTTATACAAACTTTTGTAGTGTGCAAGAAAAGATTTCATACCAAGAAACCATTTTATACATGTGTCTTATTAAATTAAACCTATGGCTTTTTCTGATATAATTCATACACTTGCACAACTGGCATGCATCACATTAAAATTACACAAATGTACAATGTAAAAGGGGTTTGCAGACATTTTGAAAGACTTAGGCTAAATTGTACTGTATATCTGTATATCCTTCTAGAAATGCTGCATTCAACCATACTGATCAAAGTATTATTGCTTAAAGCAAATCAATCAATAAATAAATAAATGATTGATATTCTATGATATTCAGCAACTTTGCAATGGTAAACACATTAAATATACATTAGCCTTGAGACTATATCTAGGCTGTAGAGGCTCAATATAGAAGAACAATGGCATCAGGCAGGTGGAAATCAGTCCTCTAACTCTGCTTCTCTAGTTTTCTCTTGCTCAGAAGGTACATTATAACACATTAAAGGCTTCAGCAAGGTTTTAAGCTGTATAAGACATAAATCTAGTTTACAAGCTCCAGGATACATGTTTCATCTATAGACCCGAATCCTAGCCCAGGAAGCAGATGCTAAACCTGGATGATGCCTTAACAATGTTGGCACTGGCCTTCTTGGGAGAAATGAAGATGAAAGCATTCACAGGGGGAGTATTGTGATCTTTATGAGATCACAATATGAGATGCCGACTTCAAAGCTAAAGCCTATGTAAATATTAATTACAGTTTTTTTCCTGAAACATGCATAGTGCCAATTTCTTGGCTTTGATGATACTTTGCTTCCCGCACAGGTTGACTTTGGCTTTGCAAAAAAAATAGGCTTTGCTAAGAAAACATGGACTTTTTGTGGAACACCAGAATATGTGGCTCCAGAGATCATCTTGAACAAAGGTCACGACATTTCAGCAGACTACTGGTCACTGGGAATCTTAATGTATGAACTCCTGACTGGCAGGTATGATCATCACCACCATATAAATAGAAGAGCAGAGTGTGGAAGATTTATGCTTTTGTCACTTTGATTATAGCATTGGCAGCAGCAAAACTTGGCAGTCATAAATGGAAACCAATGCTTATTTAACTGGGGGACCAACAGTTCTAAGCCTGAAAGTTCATAAATAATATGATTGAATTAATTTATCAAAAATCAGCACACAGTCAAACAGTTTTTTTATTGTTTTATTTTCCCTATTTCTGAGATAGTCTGCCAGCGTCCTCTACTTAGATGTAAGTGTCTACTTGTTAAATGGGAAAATACCATCAGTTCTGGTGATATTTTTACATGATACATCTCGATACATACTTGCAACTCTGAATACATGGAACTCACTGTCTACATCCTGACCAGTTTCAGATTTTTTCATGCAGTGCTGCCCCAAATGAAATAACTTTATCATTCGGGCAGAAACAGAGCAAATTAATTATATTTTATTAGACCTAACAAGAGGCAGTAGTAATTTTCTTTTAGACGTGTAGTAATTGCATCGACCAAAAACAGCCTAATGTGCCAACATAATGATCCCACATGCAACCTTTTACAGCAACGGAATGTCTCATTAAGTTAATAAACTATAAAACAAAGAAAGATGTGATGATTTTTCCTGGTACAGGATTCCATGCTGGGTTCTATCATTGACATACAAGAGAACTAGGGTGTATTTCTGCTGTAGATCTTTCCAAATGCCATATAGGTGCAGCATGCTGCATGTGCTGCTGTTTGCTCCACCCCCTGCCCTGCACCCTATCTCAGGCTCAACAACTTTTAAAACTTCCCAGGTATGATCAATGACATTCATTTGTTACATGGAAATAATGGGCTCTGAGATGAGGATGTCTTGTAAGGGGTACATTTTTAAGTGATTTATGGGCTAGAAAATTTGTGTGCCAATATATTACTTTTTAAAAAAAATTATTTATTAACTGAATCAATGTAATAAAACAGCGATGACAGTGGATACGGTGAGGACACAGCATTCACCGGATCCGCAATATAACCTATTATTACACATCTGACATATTCAGTAAGACTTCTAAGGTCAAATCAATAAACAACTATCTTATCGAAAACACAATAAATTTGTATTCTGTGAAAGTCCACAGATTACCATTGCACTATTAAGGAAATTTCCGTATTTAGGTATAGACCCAGGGAATAGTTGCATCTCGTGGTTAGAGAAAAAGCAGTAGAAAGCGCTGGTAGAAAAGAAAAGGGGGGGAGTGTGTCCGGACAGGTCCCAACACACCTTTCAAGAGCCCTGGTTGCCGTCCTGGGAACCCCGGGGAGGGAACTGTGCTGAGGATCTGTAGAACACCCATGGCATCCAGGTGGCATTGAATCAGGCTTCAGTATTTTTCTGTGAGGCTGTGAGGTCTTCCAGTAAATATATATCCTGGACCCTGGCGAGCCATAGCTGGACTGTGGGAGGCTGGGGGTCCCGCCACTTCAAGGGTATACAGGCTCTGGCTGCATTTACCAAGTGATGGGTTAATGAGCGTCTATATTTTGAGGTCGACCGTTTGGTCAAATGGAGCAGGCAAGCCGCTGGGTCGCCTCTGAGGTCTGCCCCCGTCAGGTTCTCAACTATTTCCAGAACCCCCTCCCAGAAGGGCTGTATTCCGGGGCAGTTCCAGAAGACGTGTAACATGGTGCCTGAATCCCTCCCACATCTCCAACACACATCCGGGATCGAATTTTTCATCTTATGGAGCAACCATGGGACCCTATACCAACGTGTCAGGATTTTATATCCTGACTCTTGGTATCTATTTGCTAGAGAAGCCTTGAATGTCATTTCCAGAATAATCTCTGCCGGGTCTTGTAGTAATTTGTAGAGTTGTGACACCGCGTGTCTGGCGGGGAGACTCCCCACACATAGCTGCTCGAAAACTGTCAGAGGTCTGTCTAGCTGAGACGCATTCGGAACCGCTCTGAGAAAATGGCGCAACGGAAGCGAGCACCAGAAGTCCAGAGAAGGCTCTGTGAGGGTTTGGATGGATGCAAGTGACAACCATTCTCCCTAACACCTGAAGTCAAGTAATCAAAACTTTGAGATGTTACGGACTGCCCGACGCATCTGGCCATTCTCAGAACCCAGGGGGAAATCGGGGTCCCCAAGGACCGGGGTCATAGGCGAGGGCGTCGGGGACAATCTTGATGTTCTTATAATTTTACGTGTCACCTTCAGAGTGGCAGAAACCAGTGGGTGGGATCGGACCTCTGTGGGCAGAGGGGAGTGTAGCCACGGGAGACCTTCAATCGGGAGGTGAAACAAACTCCGTTCCATTGCCACCCACTCCCTGTCCTCCCGTTGGAGGCACCAGTCAATGAGTCTCGACAAGTGTACGGCGGAGTAATAGGTGGAGATGTCCGGCAGTCCCACTCCCCCTCTGTTCCTGGGCAGCGAAAGGATACGTCTGCTGAGTCTGGGTGTCTTACCCGACCATATGAATGAGATAATGTCACTGTGGATTGTCCTGAAGAAATGAGAGGGTAGGCTAATGGGGAGAGCCTGCATGAGGTACAAGATCCGTGGTAATATATTCATTTTCACCGCTGCACAACGCCCCAGCCAGGTGATGTGCAGCGGTCGCCAGGCCTTGAGATCAATGGCAATCTTCTTCAGAAGAGGGTGAAAGTTGATGGCATATATGCTCTCCAGGTCCCTGGGAATAAGCGTGCCCAAGTATTTAATGTGGTGTGACTCCCAGTGAAAAGGAAAGTGGGGTTTAAGGGTGTCTAACTCCCCCGAGGGTTGACTTTGAAGTTGGACAGTTGACCATATGCGTCGAGGGCCGTAAGCATGTGAGGTAGGGAAGTTGCCGGCTTTGTAATGAAAAAGAGGAGATCATCCGCATAAGCGGCGGCTTTGTGTTCACCCGTAGAGGTGGGGAGCCCTGAGATGGTCGCAGAGTTCCGCATGGTGTGGAGGAATGGTTCCAATGTAAGAGCAAAAATTAAGGGGGACAAGGGGTATCCCTGTCTGGTCCCATTGGTCAAAGGAAATGTTTGGGATCTCGTTTCATTAACGCGGATCGCGGCCGATGGGGAGGTGTATAAAGCCATTATCCAGCTCAGCATGTTCTTCCCCAGGCCAATGTGTCGGAGAACCCCAGACATGAAGGCCCAGCTCACCCTGTCGAATGCTTTTTCGGCATCCGTGGACAATAACATCATCGGAGTCCCCGATCCCCTGGCCTGGTGTATCACCCCAAGGGCTCTGGTGGTGTCATCCCTGGCCTCCCGAGCCGGTATGAAACCCACCTGATCAGGATGAACAAGCTGGGGGAGAAATGGTAGCAATCTATTGGCTATTATTTTAGCGAATAATTTCAAGTCCACATTTAATAGCGCTATGGGACGGTAGTTGCTGCAGGAGGTGTGGTCCTTGTCGGGTTTTGGTATCACTGTAATCCCAGCATGGAGAGTGTCTGTTGGAGGATGGGAACCAGCCAGAATGCCATTGTATGCCGCCAGGAAGGGACCCGTCAGGTAATCGGAGACGTTTTTATAGTAAGACAGCGTAAAGTCATCTGGTCCCGGGGCTTTCCCAGATTGAGTATTCTTCAGGGCCCCTAATAGTTCCTCGGGTCGGATCGGAGCCTCCATACTGTCTCTGTCCTCAGCAGCAAGCGATGGCATTCCAGATGTCCTGACCGATGTTGTGGACCCCTGAGAGCATTCGCCAACAGCTTCCCCGGTTTGTCTGAGTATTCGTATAGAGTCCTACGCCCCTTTAGTAACTTGCCCTTCGCCCGTTTGAAAAACAGAGCATTTAGTTCTGTCCGTATCTCTACCAATTCAGACCCTGAGCCTGCAGCCAGCGACCTTTTATGCAGGCATTCTATCACCTGAAGGTGAGATAAGAGGGACGCAATCCTGGAGGTCAATTCCCTTTTCTTCCGTGCGCCAAGTAGTTTGATAAGTAGGTCGCTCATTACGCCACATTTATGGGATTCCCATATCATGAACGGTGGGGCTGTGGAAGGGGCATTGACCGTGAAAAACGCCCTCAGTTCTGTTTCCACCTCCGCCTTAACCAGCGGATCTTGCAACAGAGACTCGTTGAGTCTCCAGGATGGGCACGGGGATCTTGGAGCCAATAGGTCCAGAGTCAGATGTATGGGAGCGTGGTCTGACATCAATATATTATCTATGGAGGCCCCTCGCACCAGTGGGAGATCCTTATGTTGAACAAACAGATAATCGATACGGGAGTACATCTGATGAGGTGCGGAGAAGTGAAATCTCGTCCTGTAGGGTGACAAAATCTCCACACATCCACTAATTGGAGTAGGTGCAATTCCGCCTTTAGTTTCCGTAAGTAAGCGTAAGACAGGTGGGAAGCCCTTTCGAAACGTCCCAGAGCGGATCTAGCGGGAAATTGAGTTCCCCCCCCAGAAACACAACCCCTTCCATGAATTCTAACAGTCGCGGGACCAGAGCCTGTAGGAACCCCAGGTGGTCTGAGTTTGGGAAGTAGACGTTAGCCAAAGTGACCTGGGTGTCACCAAGTTTCCCTTTGAGGAGTATGTATCTCCCATTAATGTCCAGCAACTGGCTCCCAAAAGTCCAGGGGACATCCCTGGATAGTAGTATGCTCACCCCCTTGGATTTGGACAGTGGCGAGGGACAGTGATACGACCAGGGGAAGTCACGGTTAACCAGTTTGGGTACCTTATCATGCTGGAAGTGTGTCTCCTGGATAAATGCCACCTGAGTGCGTGAGCGTCTGAGGTCCGATAACAGTCTAGATCTTTTTTCCGGGATATTAAGCCCACGGACGTTCAGGGAGGTTATCCCCAGGGGCCCCATGGCAGCCCCTCAGGTGTGCAGAGCCCGTCCGGAACCCTGGAGAAAGAAGGCTGACACAAGGAAAGAGAGATGGGGGAAGGGGAGAGAGCTGGAGGAGGAGAAAGTAAGGAGGAGACAACAGGTATATAAATGTACCACGAGAATCAGCAAGTAGCGTATCTTGTATAAATCGGGTCAGTTCAAACTAAAGGTTCAATTGAAGTCCCGTCCGAAAAAGAACGAGACAAGCCTATGTGGGGGTAGAAAATAACGAGAACAGAAAAATAGGTATCACACCGCATGCAGCCAGGAGGTGTTCCCCCTGGCTATCTGAGGTGCAGGTAAAGTTACCCTATGCGTGTATACCCTGTACTTCTCAGCAATAGGAAGAAGGAGGACAGTGGCGACAGGCGGGAGTGTATATTAAGAACAGGTTACATAACAGTGCCTATAACATGGGCAGGAAGTATCACATTGCATAGGAGGATGCCAAACGGCACGTTCCAAGGCAAAAAGGTAAACTGACAGGGGGTCATGGTCACGGTGCCCATCCACCCCCCCACGTGGTAATATATTACTTTTTGACCAATAAAAGATTTACTATTACTTATGATAAAGAAATGCAGCAGCTGTTATAAAGGTCTATTTTCTTAATTGGTACATTGTATATAGCAGGATTCAAGTCTGCATATCTAGTAGTGTGGTAGCATTTTGTTTGTTACAGTTCAAAAGAGCCAACATTCCGTGACAAAATACAGTATTTGTTAATATTAATTCTATCAATATACATTTTTCTGCAGCCCTCCATTCTCAGGTCCAGACCCTATGAAGACTTATAACATCATACTAAGAGGAATAGATATGATTGAATTTCCAAAGAAGATTACCAAAAATGCTGCTAATTTAATAAAAAAACTATGCAGGTAAACATTGCTGCACCTCTCCTATAATAAAGACTGTATTTAATAAACATGGAATTGATTTGTGACTGCCAGTTGATGCTGCAAAATCGTACTCTTGTTTTCCTTTAAAAGTTCATTCACTGGTCACAGCCATTTGCAAATGTGGTAACTTGCGGACAAGCAACAATTCCACTGAAGCAGTAGAGATAGATTTAAGCAGATTGAGTATACTGTATATTGGATTGTCTACAGTTATGATTACACATATACAAACAGACAGAAACTTAAGTAATAAAATGACTTGACTACAACTTTGGCAGGCTCTGCTTACAGAACTTGACTTTAGCTGGCCATACACGTTCACTTTCTTTCATTAAGCCTGTCCTGTGGGCTGAACAAGAAATGTAGGAGATTCCACCATCCATGGTTTTGGCAAGGATATGCTATTCAATTCTGACAGCTGGCACCCGCCCATCACTGTCACAATACCCAAACAGTGATAGTAGCTGATTGGCTGCAATAAATGTGCAAATTAAGCATCAGCAGCAGTAAATCAGTATGTATTTTATAACCCTAGTTTAAAACTGTGTAGAAACATAAAAGGTATGTATTGCCCTTTTGTTGCAGTTAGCGACAAGGGTTTATGTCAATGGATCCCAACTATGTTTCAAATAGTTGCTAATACCAAGTCTACAGCATCATCACAAGTGGATATCTCACTTCTTTCTCTTTACATTCAGCTTTAGAAATATTTTGTATACTTTATCTGAAGAGGTACACTGCCATCTTATGGCTCAAATGGAGTAATGTTAGCAGATGGACTGCACAGTGGCTAAGTGATTAACATTCATGATTTGCTTAAAATCTCATCGAGGACACAATCTTAATAGAGTTTACAGGAATTCCCTTTTTTGTTTGGACTTCCTCTGAGTACTCTGGTTTTCACCAAAACATATATAGAAATGTTAACTGGTATATAACCTATTTACTTTGTGTATGTATGTGAATAAGAGAGGGAGGCGAATTAGAAGTCCTTTAGCTGGTGATTACAAACCCTGGAATTATAACAAACAGATGTAAAGATACTATGCAGATAATGTAGATCTTGAATAAAGAAAAAAGAGAAGCAAGGCGCATTTTGAAATATGAATTTCAGTTTAGTCCAAAGGTTTGATATGTTCATATTTATCCTTTTATGCTAATAGTGTGTAATTTCACTTCACAGTCTAGCAGTGCTTAGTTAAAGCTGAACTCCAAACAGTACAAGGTCGAAAAAAATGTATGTTTACCCACTAAAAAGATTTGTTATCCTGGTATCTCTCCAATTTTAAAGAAGCTCTTAGGGTTCAAAGGACAGTATTGTGCAATGCTGCCCTTTTAACACTAGAATACTAACTAGCTTACAATGATGGCCATGTTTACCATTACCAGGGCCATGGCAGTTGAAGCGGCTGTCTCAGGCAGCACTCAGGGGGGCACTGTTGAGGTCGCACTGATGCCAGAGACTCTACAGCTGCCTGGTCACTTGTTGGATGCTGACAATGGTGCCCCCCTCACCAGCTATTCTGGGTGCCGCTGCCCCTCGTACGGGGGCCCACGAGTGACATGGCAGGTTTCTCCTGCTGCATCTGAGGGAGATCAGCTCCTTTCTAGTAACTGAACCTGGACGCGATGAGGAGTTTTGCCACTTTTGACCAGTTTCAAACTGTTATTTCTGCAGTGGCCGAAGACGAAGCTGATGAAGCATGAATTGTGCTTCATCAGCTTTGTCGGGTCCATTAGTAGCTTTAGCAGTCTAATATTGACCCTCAATGTCTTCATAAAGAAAACCTGTCACTTCCTCTGTGCCATCACATGGGGTGTTTGTTAGTCCCTTAAGTGATAGCAAAAAAGTTAAGCCAAAAAAATGTGGTGACATATAAAAAAAAAAAAAAAACAGAAACAAGTTTTTAAGCCTTCCACCCCGACATACATGCAAATCTAAACATAAACACATGTCCAGTGCACCTATGTGCGAAAACAATTGCATTATACATGTTACATGTATCAATGTAAATGTTGGAGTGAGATCAAAAATTCTGGAGCTATCACTCACAGTCTACTCTAAATTGATGAGCGGTAAAGGCTTTCAAAGTGACGCCTGAGAGGCAATTTTGACGTGTTTGGTATATAATTATTTGAGGCAACCTCATCTTTTATATTTGACAAAAAAAAATGAATTATATTGAGTTGGTGTGCACTAAAATTCATTATAGTAATTTTTTTCTAAAATGTTGATATGAACATTTGTGCAAATACTTTGTGATATAAAAAAAGCAACTTCAGATTTTAACGTGTGTAAAAAAAAAGTGGGTAATATGCTAAGCTAGGTTGAAATTAGCAAAGCAAAAAAAAGTTGTGTGTAAAAGATATAGTCCTATCAGAGAGTTTTCACTTTGAGCCCAAAGGTGCCTACAGACTCCACTGATTGAAATCTGGCTCTGCTGACAGTGATGCCCTTCTCTCTAGGGTTTTGTTCAAGGTATTATGCAACAGTAATTTCAAAAGAGATTGAGCCACTGTTGCTGACTTTATCTATAAATACATAATTTTTCCTCAATTAACAACTTAATGAAATTGAGTTGTTTATATTTAACTAGAATTAGGCTTCAATGAATGTGCCTACAAAACTAATATGTCATAGGTCATCAACTTAAGAGATTACTATTACCTGTTATTTAGAGAGTATACATATAGCGGCTATGATTTTTATAATGCATTTTCATAAAAGATAAATTGCCTTTATATCTAATGAAACTGTATATTCCATTACCAGGGACAATCCATCAGAAAGGTTAGGAAACTTGAAAAATGGAGTGAAAGATATCCAAAAGCACAAGTAAGTAATCAGTAAAGGGGTGCACATAGAAATCTTATTGAATAGATGTTTATAAAAAAAATGAAAATGGACTTAAGATCAGGTAAAGCACTGGTGGAACCAAAAGAGTACAACAAGATGGGTCCACATGGAAAGTGTCTTATCAGGATATGGTCTTCCTTCTGTTTCAGGAGCCTTCCTTCTTAACCCCCGAGCATAAATGGATGTACCCCCTTTCTTCTGTGTAGAACTTGCTTGAGATGTGGCAATCATTTCACAGAAACGAGACAACTCTCTTGAAACAAATATTAGAATGATTATTTTTTTCTGTGCTGATTCCTGAAATATGTCTAGAGTCTAGACTATTGAATAGTGATTGGCATAACAAAACATTGTGATTTGTTTGAGAGTAACATACTTGGCTCCTTTGCAAATCTAACTATATAGGGTTCTATTTTAATATGTACAAATAGTAATGCATTTCATATATATATAACTACCAAAAGTAAACATTTTACCAAAAGTCTTCTCATACTATATCAACCCAAACTCAGAGATTAGAGGCGTTTCCTTTTTCTATATGCTTGTCTCCCATCATAATGGCTTTACCAAGTCAAACTCTGCTGAAATGGGAAGAAGACCTGGTTAACCTCTGGGACAAAGGAACAGTAGTCAAGAGCCTGTATATGGTCTCACAAAGCATCTCACTGCACATTACATTGGGAATTGGCACAAAAAAAATATGTTGATGGTACTATACGCCTTTAAAATGTCTAATATAGATTTGCATTACATTGAGACATGCTTGAGACGATGTGGAGATAAATGTACTCCACACAGCTGCAGGAGGTGTGGTCCTTGTCAGGTTTTGGTATCACTGTAATCCCAGCATGGAGAGTGTCTGTTGGAGGATGGGAACCAGCCAGAATGCCATTGTATGCCGCCAGGAAGGGACCCGTCAGGTAATCGGAGACGTTTTTATAGTAAGACAGCGTAAAGTCATCTGGTCCCGGGGCTTTCCCAGATTGAGTATTCTTCAGGGCCCCTAATAGTTCCTCGGGTCGGATCGGAGCCTCCATACTGTCTCTGTCCTCAGCAGCAAGCGATGGCATTCCAGATGTCCTGACCGATGTTGTGGACCCCTGAGAGCATTCGCCAACAGCTTCCCCGGTTTGTCTGAGTATTCGTATAGAGTCCTACGCCCCTTTAGTAACTTGCCCTTAGCCCGTTTGAAAAACAGAGCATTTAGTTCTGTCCGTATCTCTACCAATTCAGACCCTGAGCCTGCAGCCAGCGACCTTTTATGCAGGCATTCTATCACCTGAAGGTGAGATAAGAGGGACGCAATCCTGGAGGTCAATTCCCTTTTCTTCCGTGCGCCAAGTAGTTTGATAAGTAGGTCGCTCATTACGCCACATTTATGGGATTCCCATATCATGAACGGTGGGGCTGTGGAAGGGGCATTGACCGTGAAAAACGCCCTCAGTTCTGTTTCCACCTCCGCCTTAACCAGCGGATCTTGCAACAGAGACTCGTTGAGTCTCCAGGATGGGCACGGGGATCTTGGAGCCAATAGGTCCAGAGTCAGATGTATGGGAGCGTGGTCTGACATCAATATATTATCTATGGAGGCCCCTCGCACCAGTGGGAGATCCTTATGTTGAACAAACAGATAATCGATACGGGAGTACATCTGATGAGGTGCGGAGAAGTGAAATCTCGTCCTGTAGGGTGACAAAATCTCCACACATCCACTAATTGGAGTAGGTGCAATTCCGCCTTTAGTTTCCGTAAGTAAGCGTAAGACAGGTGGGAAGCCCTTTCGAAACGTCCCAGAGCGGATCTAGCGGGAAATTGAGTTCCCCCCCCAGAAACACAACCCCTTCCATGAATTCTAACAGTCGCGGGACCAGAGCCTGTAGGAACCCCAGGTGGTCTGAGTTTGGGAAGTAGACGTTAGCCAAAGTGACCTGGGTGTCACCAAGTTTCCCTTTGAGGAGTATGTATCTCCCATTAATGTCCAGCAACTGGCTCCCAAAAGTCCAGGGGACATCCCTGGATAGTAGTATGCTCACCCCCTTGGATTTGGACAGTGGCGAGGGACAGTGATACGACCAGGGGAAGTCACGGTTAACCAGTTTGGGTACCTTATCATGCTGGAAGTGTGTCTCCTGGATAAATGCCACCTGAGTGCGTGAGCGCCTGAGGTCCGATAACAGTCTAGATCTTTTTTCCGGGATATTAAGCCCACGGACGTTCAGGGAGGTTATCCCCAGGGGCCCCATGGCAGCCCCTCAGGTGTGCAGAGCCCGTCCGGAACCCTGGAGAAAGAAGGCTGACACAAGGAAAGAGAGATGGGGGAAGGGGAGAGAGCTGGAGGAGGAGAAAGTAAGGAGGAGACAACAGGTATATAAATGTACCACGAGAATCAGCAAGTAGCGTATCTTGTATAAATCGGGTCAGTTCAAACTAAAGGTTCAATTGAAGTCCCGTCCGAAAAAGAACGAGACAAGCCTATGTGGGGGTAGAAAATAACGAGAACAGAAAAATAGGTATCACACCGCATGCAGCCAGGAGGTATTCCCCCTGGCTATCTGAGGTGCAGGTAAAGTTACCCTATGCGTGTATACCCTGTACTTCTCAGCAATAGGAAGAAGGAGGACAGTGGCGACAGGCGGGAGTGTATATTAAGAACAGGTTACATAACAGTGCCTATAACATGGGCAGGAAGTATCACATTGCATAGGAGGATGCCAAACGGCACGTTCCAAGGCAAAAAGGTAAACTGACAGGGGGTCATGGTCACGGTGCCCATCCACCCCCCCACGTGGTAATATATTACTTTTTGACCAATAAAAGATTTACTATTACTTATGATAAAGAAATGCAGCAGCTGTTATAAAGGTCTATTTTCTTAATTGGTACATTGTATATAGCAGGATTCAAGTCTGCATATCTAGTAGTGTGGTAGCATTTTGTTTGTTACAGTTCAAAAGAGCCAACATTCCGTGACAAAATACAGTATTTGTTAATATTAATTCTATCAATATACATTTTTCTGCAGCCCTCCATTCTCAGGTCCAGACCCTATGAAGACTTATAACATCATACTAAGAGGAATAGATATGATTGAATTTCCAAAGAAGATTACCAAAAATGCTGCTAATTTAATAAAAAAACTATGCAGGTAAACATTGCTGCACCTCTCCTATAATAAAGACTGTATTTAATAAACATGGAATTGATTTGTGACTGCCAGTTGATGCTGCAAAATCGTACTCTTGTTTTCCTTTAAAAGTTCATTCACTGGTCACAGCCATTTGCAAATGTGGTAACTTGCGGACAAGCAACAATTCCACTGAAGCAGTAGAGATAGATTTAAGCAGATTGAGTATACTGTATATTGGATTGTCTACAGTTATGATTACACATATACAAACAGACAGAAACTTAAGTAATAAAATGACTTGACTACAACTTTGGCAGGCTCTGCTTACAGAACTTGACTTTAGCTGGCCATACACGTTCACTTTCTTTCATTAAGCCTGTCCTGTGGGCTGAACAAGAAATGTAGGAGATTCCACCATCCATGGTTTTGGCAAGGATATGCTATTCAATTCTGACAGCTGGCACCCGCCCATCACTGTCACAATACCCAAACAGTGATAGTAGCTGATTGGCTGCAATAAATGTGCAAATTAAGCATCAGCAGCAGTAAATCAGTATGTATTTTATAACCCTAGTTTAAAACTGTGTAGAAACATAAAAGGTATGTATTGCCCTTTTGTTGCAGTTAGCGACAAGGGTTTATGTCAATGGATCCCAACTATGTTTCAAATAGTTGCTAATACCAAGTCTACAGCATCATCACAAGTGGATATCTCACTTCTTTCTCTTTACATTCAGCTTTAGAAATATTTTGTATACTTTATCTGAAGAGGTACACTGCCATCTTATGGCTCAAATGGAGTAATGTTAGCAGATGGACTGCACAGTGGCTAAGTGATTAACATTCATGATTTGCTTAAAATCTCATCGAGGACACAATCTTAATAGAGTTTACAGGAATTCCCTTTTTTGTTTGGACTTCCTCTGAGTACTCTGGTTTTCACCAAAACATATATAGAAATGTTAACTGGTATATAACCTATTTACTTTGTGTATGTATGTGAATAAGAGAGGGAGGCGAATTAGAAGTCCTTTAGCTGGTGATTACAAACCCTGGAATTATAACAAACAGATGTAAAGATACTATGCAGATAATGTAGATCTTGAATAAAGAAAAAAGAGAAGCAAGGCGCATTTTGAAATATGAATTTCAGTTTAGTCCAAAGGTTTGATATGTTCATATTTATCCTTTTATGCTAATAGTGTGTAATTTCACTTCACAGTCTAGCAGTGCTTAGTTAAAGCTGAACTCCAAACAGTACAAGGTCGAAAAAAATGTATGTTTACCCACTAAAAAGATTTGTTATCCTGGTATCTCTCCAATTTTAAAGAAGCTCTTAGGGTTCAAAGGACAGTATTGTGCAATGCTGCCCTTTTAACACTAGAATACTAACTAGCTTACAATGATGGCCAGGTTTACCATTACCAGGGCCATGGCAGTTGAAGCGGCTGTCTCAGGCAGCACTCAGGGGGGCACTGTTGAGGTCGCACTGATGCCAGAGACTCTACAGCTGCCTGGTCACTTGTTGGATGCTGACAATGGTGCCCCCCTCACCAGCTATTCTGGGTGCCGCTGCCCCTCGTACGGGGGCCCACGAGTGACATGGCAGGTTTCTCCTGCTGCATCTGAGGGAGATCAGCTCCTTTCTAGTAACTGAACCTGGACGCGATGAGGAGTTTTGCCACTTTTGACCAGTTTCAAACTGTTATTTCTGCAGTGGCCGAAGACGAAGCTGATGAAGCATGAATTGTGCTTCATCAGCTTTGTCGGGTCCATTAGTAGCTTTAGCAGTCTAATATTGACCCTCAATGTCTTCATAAAGAAAACCTGTCACTTCCTCTGTGCCATCACA